ATATATGCAGAAAAAGGGTTTTTAGCTATTCTGTATAGAGACCCAGATAAATCTTTGAGGTTTTGTCATCTCATTTGAAAGTAATAATGATAATTTATTATTTATACCCCACCCATCTGGCTGGGTTTCCCCAGCCACTCTGGGCGGCTCCCAGCCAAATGTTAAAAACACAAGACAGCATTAAACATTAAAAACTTCCCTAAACAGGACTTCAGGTGTCTTTTAAAAGTAAGATAGTTGCTTATCTCTTTGACATCTGATGGGAGGTCATTCCACAGGGCAGGCGCCACTACCGAGAAGTCCCTCTGCCTGGTTCCCTATAACTTCACTTCTCGCAGTGAGGGAACTGCCAGAAGGCCCTTGGCACAGGACCTCAGTGTCCAGGCTGAACAATGGGGGTGGAGAAGCTCCTTCAGGTAAACAGGACCAAGGCTGTTTAGGGCCTTAAAGGTCAGCATCAACACTTTGAATTGTGCTCGGAAATGTACTGGGAGCCAATGCAGGTTTCTCAGGACCAGTGTTATATGGTCTCGGCGGCCACTCCTAGTCACCAGTCTACCTGCCGCATTCTGGATTAATTGCAGCTTCCGAGTCACCTTCAAAGGTAGCCCCATGTAGAGCACATTGCAATAGTCCAAGCAGGAGATAACTAGAACATTCACCTTTCTGACGAGACAGTCTGTGGGCAGGTAGGGTCTCAGTCTGCATACCAGATGGAGCTGGTAGACAGCTGCCCTGGACACAGAATTGACCTGCGCCTCCATGGACAGCTGTGAGTCCAGAATGACTCCCATGCAGCACACCTGGTCCTTCAGGGGCACAGTTACCCCATTCAGGACCGGGGAGTCCTCCACACCAGCCTGTCCCCAAAGAACAGTAGTTCTGTCTTGTCAGGATTCAACCTCAATCCATTAGCCACCATACATCCTCCAACTGCCTCCAGACACTCACACAGGACCTTCACTGCCCTCAGTTGTTCCGATTTAAAAGAGAGGTAGAGCTGGGTATCATCTGCATATTGATGAACACTCCTGATGATCTCTCCCAGCAGCTTCATGTAGATGTTAAAAAGCATGGGGGAGAGGATGAAACAAGTGAGAGCCCAAGGGTCTGAACACTCACCCCCCCAACACCACTTTCTGAACACTGCCCAGGGGGAAGGAGCAGAACCACTGTATAACAGTGCCCCCAGCTCCCAGCCCCTCTAGACGGTCCAGAAGGATGTTATGGTTGATGGTATCAAAGGCCGCTGAGAGATCCAGCAGAACTAGGAAACAGCTCTCACCTTTGTCCCTAGCCCGCGAGAGATCATCAACCAGCGCAAAAGTATATGAAGATGGACAATGTGGATGTCCTTATTGTATATACCACCAGCACCTGTTCCCCTGTGCCCCCTACCAGTTCAAAACGTTGATTAATTACACAGATTGCAGCAATATAATAACACATTGTAGGACTAATACAAATCTTAAGTCTAATATAAAGTGCAGTCTTTCCAAATGCCTTTAAAAACAAACAGACCCAGAAGTCTTAAAGATCTAAATGGTCCATCTATTGGACAGGATGCCTTTAACCAGCCCTGTTAATTTATCCTGACACATATAACTGCTAGCTGTCAAAAGCCCGTTACACATCTGATTCCAGACACATAATTAGATAAAAAGATGGCACTTTAAAATGAATTTAAATTCAGGCTTACCACTGGGCAAAGAGACTGAGGAATGAAGTTCATGTTTGCACCAATCCACATGTGAATTGCTGAAGTTGGTCTCAAAAATTTCTGGCTGAGAATAACATCTGCCATCCACATCTTCAGGAGAGAGAGTGTCCAGTTCAATTTTCTCAAGTGACATTGCAAAAATAAAAATTAAAGTTTGATAAAAGTTTCAGTTATCCGCTGGTTATGACGAAGTGACACCAGGTGAATCCATGGCTTGGCTGCCAAATAAAAACTTCAAGAAAATGGCCAGGGGTTCACAAAAACCCAGAATCAGTAATTCCAGTAAAGTGGGTGCAAGCTCAGGTACATCTCCTGGACTTCATAGTTTTCTCCCAGGATTAAAAATGAAACAAAACCCCAAACCCTATTCCTGTTAAGAAAGGTTTTCTATACTTGTGTGACAGCAATGCTATGGTGTCTCTGTGTGGCTCCTGAAGAAATAAACAGGATAAGTGGAGACATCTGTATGCTTGCTAAGATCTGCTCTTAATAACTTTGTTTTAGCAGCCCTAATTCACATTTCAATTCTCATTTCTTGAGCTGGGAGGGGCTTAGTCATACCAATGAAAACAAGTGGATTCCACATTGCAGTAGGCAGCTGAAAAGTGGAAGTTAGTTTTGCCAGAATTCCCAGACCTTCTCTCCTGGGAAATTTGCAGCAAGGTACCTAAAATCAAGAGCAAACATATGCTTGAGACCAAATGATGTACAGCTGCAGAATCCATGCCCCCAAATACCAATGATTTTCAGCAGCCCAGCATTAAAAAACTAACCATTTCTTGTGTTTTTAATGGTATTATTATTATTATTATTATTATTATTATTATTATTATTTAGTTATGCCAATTGGTGTGTGTCATTGTGGTTATACACCTTGTGCTTTTATGTGTGGAAAGGTAAGGTGTAAATATAAGTAATGAAAATGAATCAACAAGTAATTGTTAGGCTCACGTGTCTTATGGTCCTCATGATTTTAAGTAGAAGGTCATGATCACTGGTGTATTTTCACATTTACAAAGCAAAAGCATACCCTGAAAGCATTGTTCAGTCATTACGGAATCCTGTGTACTTTTTTCAGGGCCTATCTCAAAGTTTAGCAACCAATAAGCACTCAGCAATCCTCAGGAAATTGGCCAGTGACCCTTCAAGGAATCAGAATCTATCTCTTACCTGTTCCTGCCATAGAAAATGTGCTCCACTAACCCCTACACCATGCATTTAAAGCACATGGATTTCCCTGACAAAATTATGGGAAGTGAAGTTTGCTCTCCCACAGAGCTGCAATGCCCAGCACTCTTAACAAACTACAGTTCCCCGGAGTTTTTGAGGGAAGCCATGTGCTTTAAATGTATGCTGTGGATGTGACTCATTTCAAGAAGGAATGCACCATAGTATTCCTAATGTTTTCTCTCCACTTCTATCCCATATGCCGTGCAGATGTACAGAGCATCACACATCAAAAGAACTTGTTTTCTTCTTCTCCTCCCTCCCTTCAGTGCCTGCCCCACTTTCCAAGCCCAGATGAAGAGTGCTAAGAGAGGCACCTTCTGGCCACAGTAAGAAATTGCAACACAATGTAATACATTGACTTCACGTTGAAGTTATTCTGGGGCTTTACCATTTCCTGTATGCCACAGCTGAGGAAAATTAGGCCAAACGGTGGTTGATAAACTAACACCACATCAACGGCGTTCCTAATGAACTATAACAAAACAAGAGGCAGTCACAAGGAAATAATCCATAGATACAAAAATTACCATCCCGTGTAGATTGTGGGTGCCTTCCACTGGAAAAAATACAGTCCTTGGAGATCATAATTAAGTATATATTTTGCATGACATTTTCCCTTTATGGCAAAAAAATTAATTAAGAAAAAGGGAGGAAACTTAGAAGCCAACACTATTATCCTGTGTAACTGATGTACTTGTCTGATAGCAGTAAACTCAATCTCTCCAAATCTCCTCAAGGCACAATTTTGTGATTCTTGTTTTGTGGATTGGATTCACAGATAGAGAGAAGCCAATCCTTGCCATCAACGAGGCCTTGGGCTGATTAACATCCTATACCCTTTCAAATGTGTTGGTGGGAAAAGGTTCGGGGTGGGGAGGTATTGATTGGTTTGTTTTTGTTCTTTTTTATTATGTATTATTATTATTATTATTATTATTATTATTATTATTATTATTATTTATATACTGCCCTATAGCCAGAGGTCTCAGGGCAGGTCACAGAAAAGATCAACATAAAAGCCACAAAATATACAGTGCTTTTTTTCCTTTTGAAAATGTTTAGGGTTACTCTCATTTTCCTACTCATATTGAAATACTCCCCGTCAATGAGGCCAAACTTAGATTCACAAAATGATTAGGGGTATGCGTACCTCCACATCTCCCCAGAAAAAAGCACTGAATATATATAATCAAAATAAAAACAACAACCCAATAACCCCTCCCCCAAAAGAGCCACTATTTAAAAGGGTATAGGATGTCAATCAGATCAACCAAAGGCCTGGTTAAAAAGGAAGGTTTTTGCCTGGCGCCTAAAGGTGTATAATGAAGTGTTTTTATCTTATGCCTTTGTGCTGTGAACTGTCCTGAGAACTATAGATGAACACATTTAATAAATAAAATCAATAAAACATTGCACTCACTTTCAACTCCAAATGCTGGCTTTTTCTATTGAAAGAGGGCCCTCCACCCCTTTGTCGTCTTGTATTGAGCCCCTTAATCCCTCCCCCCCCCCAATGGCTCATCATCCAGGATGTCACCTCACCAGGAGGCTAGCCTGGCTATTCCAAGAATGAGAAGCCTTGATTAAATCCCAACACTTGCTGGATCCAGGGATTAGAGGGGTCCGGCACCCATTTTAACACTCCAAACGCATAACATTATGTTTTCACTTGGAAAATGTAATCTCCTGCTAGAGGGGCACATAAATTGTTAAAGTAATTACGATATGCAAATTTAACTGTGCAAATGTTTCAGGTGATCATGATGACATTACCTGGGACATTGCTAAAGCAACAAATCCACCCATGCCCCACATCAAGATGTGTTTTGTTACTATTGTTTTAATTCTCTAGAGTCTAGATGCTTCCTCAGTTTAGCACCAAAGTAAAAAGCCTAAGGGTGTTTATTCTGGTGCTGAAATGATTGACTCCTACCTTTTAATAAAAGTAGTCATAAAAAGCCCATCTCTGAAATGGCAAGGTTAACCGCCACCAATAGCATGTGAACTGAATATCGCCTTTGTAATTTTTTTTAAATTTTTTTTTTTAAAGAAAATGCAGGCCTATTCCTCAAAGACAAAGCTGCAGCTAGGGCCTGATTATTTGGATAAGCATTACATCTCTTTTTCAGCATTCTCGCCCTCAGAGGTAATTTCCTTTTCTTTTCTTTTAGTTCAGACAAGCTTTTATCCTTATTGTTGTGCAATGGAGAGAAAGCAGGGCTTGGAAGGCCTGGAATTAATTTCCACTTCTGAGAAGAGTTCTTTAGGTGGCCTTGAGCAAGTCAGTCTAAAGTGAGAGTGTTTATGAAACTGGCAAAGTAATGATGAATGAGAGGAGGATCGTGGAATATGCTGCACTTGACAAGTGTTACATAAATATTTCGTAGAATCACAGAATTGTAGAGTTGGAAGGAACCCCAAAGGCCATCTAGTCCAACCCCCTGCAATGCAGGAATCTCAACTAAAGCAACCATGGCAGATGGCCATCTAACCTCTGCTGAAGAACCTCCAAGGAAGGAGAGACCAGAACCTCCCAAGGGAGTCTCTTCCACAAACAGCTTTTACTGTCATCCCTTTTCCATAACAAGATACTTGAAGGAGCATCTATCTCCTGCCTGGCTGCCCAACCTATCTAGGTGTTCTCAAGGGTGAGCAGAGGTCCAAGTTGGCATCCTATGTGACAAGTCACTCTATCGCCATTGACATTTGGAAGATGTCCTACCTATTTCAAAAAATGACGCAATGAACTTTCCTCCTTTTTTCCTCCTCGAAATTACCGCACACATACCTACGTTTCACTTGGTTTTGGCACTCTTGGTGAATTATAGTTTTCATTCCATAGACTTCATTTTCCATTGGACAGTTTGCAATTGAACTGCAAATATTGTATTATGTATAAGAGCCCCTCTTCACCAATTCTCCCTCTCTCATTTGCCATCTGCCAGCTATGATAATAATTGTACTTCATTTCAGCCTAAAATACTCATCCGTCACTTGAAGTCCATAATTTCCCCTGCTGATCTGCTTGAATATAGCAGTTATGCCAAGACCAAAGAAGGAGCACACAATTCATCACTAGAAAGAAGAAAACTGATCCACGTCTCCTAATTCTCCTGGTAGAGTGCATATCTATTTTCTTCCCTGTGTTGTATTGTTTCTCATTTCTAAACAGAGCTGAATAGATTGTTTTATGTACAGTCATACCTTGGTTCTCAAATGCCTTGTAACTCGAACGCTTTGGCTCCCAAATGCCACAAACCCGGAAGTGAGTGTTCCAGTTTGCAAACTTTTTTTGGAAGCCAAACGTCCGACGCGGCTTCCGCAGCTTCCAATTGAATGCAGGAAGCTCCTGCAACCAACTGGAAGCCACACCTTCATTTTTGAACGTTTTCAGAAGTCAAATGGACTTCTGGAACGGATTCCGTTTGAGAACCAAGGTACAGCTGTGCTTCTGGGGAGAAATGGGAAGAGGCGTGAAAAAATACAGTGGATTTTACTATAGTATTTATTTTGTACCTGATTCCACAGGTGAAGAACTTTAGAACTTAGACAGGAAGAGGAAGTGGTTAGAGGCAAGATGTTCTGAATACTAGTTGCTGAAAACCAGAGTGGTCCCATTTTCAGGCTTCCACAGGTATCTGGTCTGCCACAGTGAGAACAGGACGCTGGGCTTCTTCACACAGTAGAAAGTTTCAGACCAGTTTTACATAGATCAGTTTCCTGAGGGCATTCTGGAATCTGCTGGTATTTTAAATAACAGCTGTTTACTTGCACATATATAGGATGAGTAGGTGGAGAGCAGATATGCACTGCTAATCCCAAAGCCACACCAATCCCTCAAAGCAACAGCAGTATTGAAGAGCTCTAGTTCTGTGATGGGGCATCAGCTTTGCATGCAGAAAGTCCCAGGTTCAGTCCCAGGCTTATCTGTGTCGTGCTGGGAAATTCTCCTATGTGAACATCTGGAGAGCTGTTGCCAGTTAGTGTGGACAATACTGAGCTAGTATAAAGCATTTTGCTATGTTCTAGCCCATCAAGAGGACGCGGGTGGCGATGTGGGTTAAGCCACAGAGCCTAGGACTTGCCGCTCAGAAGGTCGGCGGTTCAAATCCCCGCAACGGGGTGAGCTCCCGTTGCTCTGTCCCTGCTCCTGCCAACCTAGCAGTTCAAAAGCAGTCAAAGTGCAAGTAGATAGATAGGTACCACTCTGGCGGGAAGGTAAATGGTGTTTCCGTGTGCTGCTCTGGTTTGCCAGAAGCGGCTTAGTCATGCTGGCCACATGACTCAGAAGCTGTACGCCAGATCCCTCGGCCAATAGAGCGAGATGAGCGCCGCAACCCCAGAGTCGGCCACGACTGGACCTAGTGGTCAGGGGTCCTTTAGCCCATCAAGACAGCTTCTGTTGCCAGCTTCAAGACTTTGAAATCTGGCGGTAAATGCAAGCTCTGCTGGGATTGGTTCCACTTGGGAGCTTCCAGAACTCCTGAGGGATAGTAACTCATGGCAAAAACAGGACTTGAAAGTGCCACTGATCAGCTCGCTCCTTTGTTGATGCTTTTGCATTTGTAAACCAGCTTGAATTCAAGCCAGTAAATCCCATAAGCATGGATTCCCCCACCCCGGCACTAATAATAATAATAAAGAGCTAACAACTTGTAGCCTTTTCACGATATCAAATGTCTGCTGTCTGAGGCAACTGCCTCACTGCCAAATGATAGGGCCCATACAAATGCACTTAGTTTTCCTCTTCTCTGCAAGGGTTAGAAATAGTTAAAATTAGTGCCGGATTTACATATAAGCTAAACAAGCTATGTATAGCTTAGGCCCCACTCTCTTGGACCCCCCCCCAAAGAAAATTAAAGGGGAAAAATTGTATTTCACTATTAATATACTTCTTAATTGTATTTCAGTTCAACAATTACTTTGATAAAATACATATTTTGTTATGTGCAAATGGCTTTAGATACCTATTAGGTCCATAAATTACCATATAGCACATATCCAACACAAAAAACAGTGACAATTTGTTGTTGACAAAGGAAAGCTAGACATATAAAGGGCCTCATTCCCTTCAGTAGCTTAGGGCCTCATCAAACCTAAATCCGGCCCTGGTTGAAATGGATGTTTTAAAAGAATCTGCTTAATTGAAATAAAACAAACAAGAAAAGGCTCAAAACTTATATACAGTATATGTTGGCAACAGCATTTTTGTTCAAAGAACTGAGAGGCTAAAAGAATGTTATCTGGATTTCAAAGGCACCTCATGAATGAGTAGAGAAACAAATTAAAGCATTCATTGTTCTGCTGTTTTGTTTCAATGTGTATTCAGCCTGTTTGAGAAACTGGGTACAAAATTGGATTGAACTACAAGACTGACTACTGTAGCTTTTACATCCACCTGGGCCCTATAGTGTCTTTGAGAAGCCAAAGGTGGCAGCAGCAGACTGAAGTGGGTTTTATCAGCTATGTCTGAGAGCCAATTTCTGGCAGAAATATAGCATGGGCGGAAAGTATCCACCACCATATCTACCCCTATTCCATGCTCCTGATGTAGACTGGGATGCCCGCAGTCCCCTTTTCCAAAGATTTTGGAAAAGTTCTGCTGAAGATATTTTATTTATTTATTTTGTTAAAATATTTATACTCCAGCTTTTGACTGGAAGACCCTCCAGACAGTGTGTGAAACACACTTTAAAACAATACAAGGAATGTAAGCGACAAAATAAAATAAAGAGCGAGATAATATAATCTCAAAAGAAATAAAAATTGGGGGGGGAGAGAGAGATTTAACATCCCACTAAAGCAAATGTTCCATCAGCACAAGCATTTCTCACCAATTTAGCTTTCGTGTGTGCGAGAGAGATGTAAAATACGACCTATCATATAGGAGGAGGAGGAGGAGGAGGAGAAGGAGAAGAAGAGGAGGAGGAGTTTGGACTTAATATCCAATTTCACTCTCCTTAAGGAGTCTCAAAGCGGCTAGCAATCTCTTTTCCCTTCCTCCCCCACAACAAACACTCTGTGAGGTGAGTGAGGCTGAGAGCCTTCAGAGAAGTGTGACTAGCCCAAGGTCACCCAGCAGCTGCATGTGGAGGAGTGGGGAAGTGATCCTGGTTCACCAGATTACGAGTCCACCACTCTTAACCACTACACCGCGCTGGCTGAAAGGTGATGGCCTTTCAGATATCCTGGTCCTGAGCTGTTTTTGGATATTTATACATACGAACCAACACCTTGAAGTTGGCCTAGAACAATTGAAGACCATTGTAACATAGGAAAGCAATTGGGCATTTCATACCACCTGCAGCTTCTAAATACTCTGCAGGGGCAATCCTGCCTCTACAATCCTGCTCTATTAGTTTAACTGGAAATGAGTACCGCAAACTTACTGCAACCCAGCAGGCCCTACAATGATACACAAATGCCGGCAGGCACCATAGACACACACAGGCACCCACCTTCCCTCCACCAGCAACATTGCCTTCTTTCTGTGGTAATTAGACTTCATACACAACCCTTTTATTGTGATCAGGGAGTGTTTTTGACAGGGGGGCACAACCACAAGCAGGGAAGGAGCAATCCTCAAATCACCACTCTTCCATTGTACTTACGCTTTAAAGAAACCTTCTATCATAGAAAATAGAAGGCTTCTTTGATGCCTATTTGTGACTCTGGGGTGTGGTTTTAGTGAGGAGTCACAGGTGTAACTCTCCTCCCCTCAAAAATTGCCCCTGTTGTGTGATTACAGCTGCAGGAGGGGTGGGACAAGGGATGCTGCAGGTGTCAGGGAAGGCATCTGTGGAGATCATATTTTGAGCCTATCAACTAAGGTGTGGGTTATCTTTTCCAGGAAGCAGCATACCATGTGGCACACCAGGTGAGCAAAAGCATTCCAGGCCAAGGTCGTCGCTTGAGCATCCAGGAAGAAGCCTAGATCTGGAAACACTGCCCAAGCTGCACACCTGATCCTTCAGATTACAACCCCACCCAGAAGAGGTTGGACCCTCAATCTCATATCACAGTGGCGGACTTTGGGATCTTAAATTTCAGTGGTGCCCTTTGTGACACTAAAATTTGTCACCGCCTGCCTTCCACACCCCATTCTTTTTTTAAAAATTTTTTTTTATTAACCGACCAATCAAATCAAATCAAATTAAATCAAATCACATCACATAAATTCCGAATTACAAAGCCGAATTTTAAATTTTTGTTGGGGTGACCCATATTTCAAGTTCCGAAGGGGGATTCCGATCATCTTCTTGCTGCCGCGTTAATATCCACAAATCTGTCCAAATAATGTTCGTAATTCTATCCAGTCTTATCTTGCTGTTTCCACATCTCATCTTGTTCGTATATTTTTCTTTTTGTCTTTATGATCTCTTCTGATAATCTCCTTAAGCAGGCAAACACCAATTATAATCCTGTGTGAATTTTTTCTGTTCATCCAGTCATCATATCAAGATGGTTTCCATATATCATCACTTTCATAAATAACAGCACTCTTTCCATCATTAATCTCGCAAGTCTGTCGCATTTTAGTCCCACTGAGGAGGCTCACCCACAATATGAAAACAGACCTTTCCTCCTCCCAGACATAAATTTTTCGACGGAACTTGCCAAGATGGCGACGATATTTTTTACTGCGTCATTCCAAAGCTCTTATGCTTTCCACGGTCTTCTTAAAACATGCTTTGGTTAGAAAATTATCTCCACACAGCCTTAAATCCACAGCTTAAGTCATTTAAACGGCATTTCTGACTTGTGACTTGTGGGGGGGGGATTCTTGGTTAATCACATAGAGAAAAGAAAGGAAAGTTTTTTTCCCTCCCCCATCCAGTCCCGTTGCCGAACATACCGAGCCTTAGTGTGTCTTCTCATGATTTATTCTTGTTCCTCCGACCCGTCTTGTTTATCAGAGATCTCTTCAGTTAGCAGTCTTTATTCCCCCTTCTTCCTTGAAATATGTGCATTAGCTTCCTCCTAATTGTTTCTTTTGAAGTTCCTGCAGCTAGGGGCGCGGATCAGAGACAGCGTCCAGGAGCGCCGAAATCCACACAAGGGCTTTCTGCCTAGTGCCCCCACCCCCACAAAATTCGGGGGTGGTATAGGGCACAGCAGGCAAGGGCAGTCCCCCCCACACCCTTGGGGGGGCGGGAGGCTGTTTACTCCCATCACAGCCTCTTAATTACCTTGTGTGGGTCGGAGAGATGTTATTGTCAGCCATCTTCCGATGCGCCCCTAGTGGCCACCCCCTCCACCCCCCATTCTACAGCATTGTTGTGGCAGCCCCTGCAGTGCAGCACCCAGTGCAATCAAACCGATCATGCTACCCTAAAATTGCCTCTGCATATCAGATTGTCCACTGGACAACAAAGCCTCTATCTTGTCAGGACTGAGCCTCAACATGGTAGTGCATCCTATCAATGGTTCAGGATATCCAGAGCCTCCTCGGCATGAGTTTAAAAAATGAAGTGCACTGGACATCTCCAACAAAATGGAGCTGTAGGCATCTGTTTTAAGACTTGTGCTTGATGTAACATTAAGCTTGGCCCCAAGAGAAGAGTTCCCCGAGACCCAGCCTGCAAAATAAGAACCTGGCCACTGTGGCACATTGAATGTACCTGAATTGAATTTGGAACAGAGAGGTAGCATGAGCTGTTCTGCCTTGCTGCATGGTAGCTTTGTTTCTATGTGTCATTTCTAATAAAAGGAAGATGTTTATGAACCTCTCTAGTGAGTATTGGCCTGAAAGCAGAACCTACGAGGGAAAGGAAATTCCATCCCTAGAACCTGCAGGCAAAGATAAAATATTAGAGCCACTATCATTCATGGGTTTGTGGCAACATAACTGGTGCAGAATTCTGCTGCTCATCTCTTTTCTATAATTAATGGCCCATTGTTTGCAAATCAATCTATAGAATATGCTGCCATTAAAGTAATTCGGGAGATTCCCCTTGTCCAAGGCATGATGATAAACTTGTACTTCAATGCTTAAGAGACAGTTTTAACGTCCAATTCTTTGGATGTTTAAGCTACACTTCTAAAATTATCGTTTTTTTCAGCAATGCAGCCCATAAACATACATCTCTGTATAAAAATGTCCATCTCCTATTTAATGCTTATAATGACATAATCAGCTCAGCAGTGGCTTCTGTGTTAAACTCTAATGGAAATATTCTTATATCCAGTTGGAAATCTTTCGTGGTTACATTGACCTAACATTTTACGCAAGTGTTTACCTCAACAAACAAATTACCTAATTTAAGGATAATAAAGCAGTCATCTTTTAAATAAGAGGAGAAAATGATGGGTTCATCTATCATAACAGGGATTATTTTATTGTCCATAAAACTGATGAAATCAATGAGCTGCTGGAGATAAAAAGTGAAAGCAAGAAGACATGTAAGACTTTGAAAGGTCCTCCAAGGGCAAAATTAGGTGACAGCTTATTGCAATGAATAATGCCCCTCCCCACAAAAAAAAGGGGAAATAGTGGCAGTGAAGCAAAATTTGGATTATTGTGTTTTGTGTTTTAACACCATCATTTTCACCTGCAAAATGAAAATGTGTCATGTTTGTGTTCTTATTCATTTGCTCAGTTTCTGCCACAATGGATCTAAAGAGATGGACCACCATTCTGTCTGTCCCTAAGAGATTTGCTCTGCCAGTTTTTCCAAGGCCAGAGCTCAGGGCCAAATAATTTGATCATTACTTTGATCATTGGTGAAGATACTTTGTTGGCATCTATCTGACTCAGGTAAGGCATCTGAAGGCATATGGTTTTGCTGCTACAGGTGCATGATGGCATGTCTTCTCTCTGCACACTCCTCCCTCTGCAATCATTCCTTCTCTGGTCACTGCTGTGAATACATGACCCAACTCTTTGTCTCCAGGCACTGTGATCATCTGCAAGGGATTCCCATACAGTGGGGTTAATGTTGCCACGTTTGCAGATATCTTTGTAACACAGAGTTGATCTGCTAACAGGCCTAGTACCTGAAGCCAACTCTCTGCAGAACACGTCCTTGGGGATCCTGCCATCTTCAGTTCTGTGTACATGACCAAGCTAGCGTAGATGTCACTGAGACAGAAATGTGAACGTGCAGGATATGTGGCCTTGGAAGAGCACATCTTTGTTTGACACTCTTTCCTGCCATCTGATGCCCAAAATCTTCCTGATGCAGCACATATGGAAGGCATCAAGGTATCACTCCTGGAGGGTGTAAGTTGCCCACAACACACTTCCATAAAGCAGCATACTCAATACGCAAGCCCAGTAGACCTTCGTCTTGGTATTGGTCATTAGCATCACATTCTCCCATACCCTTTTGGAGAGGCAAGCCATTGCTATAGCTGCCTTGCCAATATATTCGTCCAGCCCAGCATAGATGGAAAGCTTGCTGGTTATGGCAGAGCCTAGGTAGACAAAATAATCTACTGCCTCAAGCATGTGGTCAACAATGCTGATGCATGGAGTGCTGGTGACATCCTGACCCAGAATATTGGTCTTTGTTAGGCTGATAGTGAGGTTGCACTCCAAGGTTTGGGCAAAATGGTTGATGAGTCTCTCTAGAGCTTCCTTGGGGTCCGCTGTCAAGGCTGCATCATCTACAAACAACATCTCTTGGATAAGAACCCGCAATACTTTTGTATTGGTGTGGAGACATACCAGGTTGAACAGACCCCTGTCACTCCTCAAATGAAAGTACACACTATCTTCATTCAAGCTGAAAGCACTGGGAGAAGAATATGCCAGTTGGGGTGAGAACGCAGTCCTGTTTCACACTGCTCTTTATAGGGAAGGCGTCCAAGGCTGAGCTGCCAAACTGGATGGTGTTGGGCATGTTCTTGTGGAAGGACACAATCATCTTGTGGAGCTTAGGTGGGCATCTTATCTTGCTGAGTAGTGTGAAGAGTCCTTTTTGACTGGCAAGGTAAGGTTAATGAAGGTGATGTACAAGGCGTGTCTCTGCTCTCAGCATTTCTCCTGCAGCGGGTGCATTGAGAAAATCATGTCAACTGTTGACCTCTGAGCTCTAAAGCCATAATGTGGCTCAGGATAGACCCTGTCAGCAAGTGACTACAATCTGTTGAGAACTACATGGGCTACGGCTTTACTGATAAACCATGGAAATAAGTTCAAAATGACATACAATTCTCTGCCTGAAACCCAGAGACAGCAGTCTCTGTAGACACTACTGAGATGGACCAATGGTTTGACTCCATATAAGGCAGCTTCCTATGCTCCTTTCCTTTTGACGCCCATGCAAAGGACTTGCAGGAAGCATGACAAAAAAGCACCTGAGCCACACATGATTTATCCCCCCCCCAATCACTCTGCATCTGTCTTGTGTCTGCAGCCATTCACACTGGAGCTCTGATCCTGGATTGCATCACATTTAAATTATGTTTTCCAAATAGTGTCACAAGCATTCAGCTTCTGAGTAATAAAAAGGTTACTCAGATAATTGGCATTAGTGCCTGTGAAAGTGATTGTGTCAAAGGATTTTTGGAAATGAATCTCAATTAAAATAAAAATGTCACTGGTGTCTGAAGGAGAACATGTTCTCATAATGAAAAGTCAAAATGTGACATTTCGGTATGTAAAACAACTTGATGTGGGGAAGGAAACTTGCACTTACTATAAAAGAGTTAACCTAAGCCAAAAGTTAATTACCTGTTGCCCCAGATCTTTCAGAAGTGGAAGAATTTGTATCAACCATTTGTTTTATACAGTCAGAGTAATAAGTCACAGCTTCCTGATTCTGGTAACAATTACTTAGATTTTCTAAGTGGTCGATAGCTAGATGTCCATAGTTAGCTATATTCAAAGTTACAATCAGATAAGAGAAGATTGTAATATTCCTTCTGGCAGTGAATTCGCTTAAATCCAAGCATAGAAAAATGCAACGCCTGAGTCCAGGATGGCATCCAGGCTAGAGCTGCCACCAAATGTTACACAGCACAAAATGCAGAAGTGACTTGGGAAGTTCCAACATTCAATGAACTGGAAAGGAAGAGTGTTTTGATAAGGTAAATATTTCTCAGAGTAATGAGTCCTTCTCTGGAGGACCCACAGAAGCATTCATTTAATTCACCTTCTTAACGCCTTGAATGCCATGGTCATTGCAGTTCCAGCCAAGGTTCCCAATGC